ATTTAACTTTCTTTTATGGTTGTGCTCTTCCTTTTTACAAGCCGCTAGATACAGGTAGTTTCTGACAATTACTGATCTATGTTTGTATTGCTGATGTACTTAGGGGGTATGTAAAAATCATTTTAACAAAAGAAATAGATATTTAAAAATTTAATACTAACTATATGGGAAAAGGGTCCATTGTGAAAACATAGTTTATCTTTGGATTCAATGTTTGTCTTTGGTTTTACAAAGTAGCTTGTATTTTAAGTATTTTCTACATAATATGGTAAAAATGTAGAACAATTGCAATGCGTCAATAAAAAGGGTTAATTTTCTGTACTCTATTCATGTGGTCGCTTGGTCTGTTGAAGGAGGGGTTTTGGTGGATCAGGGGTGGGATGTCGGCAGTGCCGGGTGCGGGATGTGGGTTTGCGATGTGGATTTGGGATGTGGCAGCACTAGATGGCACACTCGCCCTGCCACAGCACCTGGCACGGACGGGCAGCCTCGGCCCGTTCCCGTGGCCCAGGAGCCCACGGGCTGTGCCCACAGAGCCGCCTGGCACGGCTGCGTGCAGGGCACGGAGCTCCATCTGTCCCTCTGTCCGTCCATCCGTCACACCAGCCCCGTCCCGCCCTGGCTGTGGGAGCTGCCATGTGGCCCCACACCGGCACGGCCAAGGCTCAGCTTTTTCACCATCCTCGGCCATCTCTGCAGACGAGGAGCCAGGGCTGCACCCCTGCCCGTGGCACAGGTCCCTCGCTGTCCCACGGGATGTCCCTCATGAGATCATGTCTTTGCCTTGCTCCTCAGGGGTCCTGCAGCGCTCCCTGCACCCCAAATCCCACAGACCCCTCCAGCAGCCCATCCCCAGGTTCCTCCTCCGTCCCCAGGGCTCAATCCCAGCCCCAGGGCTCGATGGCACCACGTGGAGCTGCCATGGGCACCCGGCGGGGCGTGAAGGGGTTAAGGCGCCCGGGGCTGGTCTGCCGGGGAAGGAACAACCTCTCCTCCCTCTCCACATCTGGATTCAATAAGGGCTGGAGAGGCCGGAGCATTCCTGAGCACTGAGCTGGAGGCTGCACTCCCCCGACGACAGCCATGGGGCCCTGGCGCTGCCTGCTCCTCCTGCCGCTCCTCGCCGTGCCCCTCCGTGCCCAGCAGCAGCAGTTCATGGAGTACGTGGAGCGGCGCCTCACCCTGCTGGAGGTACGGCCCCGTGGAAGGCCCCACAGCCCGAGTCACCCCGTGTCACGCCGTGGTGGGGCTCCCATGGCGGCTGGTGGGGTCTGGGATGGGGATGGAGCAGAGTGTGGGGTACCCTGGCACTCCCTGCACAGCCCAGCGTGGGGATGAACGGGAGCACTGTGGGAGGGGGGCATTGCGGGTCTGGGGGCATCACGGGAGTGGGGACATCACAGGAGTGGGACCATCGTGGGAACGGGACCCAGAGGCAGGAGCCCAGGGCTGCAGTGCCGTGTGGCCCCGGGGGGCTCCCACAGCCACGTGCGGGCGGTGGGACAGGCTGTGAGGTGTGGAGACCTCAGAGTCCCCTTGGCCACCCCAGGAGAGGATCTCGCAGTGGCACGACCAGAGCAGCCGCTACTCCACGGAGCTGCGGGACTTCAAGAACCAGGTGCTGGGGATGCTCGAGGCGGCGGAGAAGGAGCGGGAGGCGATGCGGGCGGAGGCGGAGAGCGCTGCGGTGCGCGTGGACCGGCTGGAGCGGGAGGTGGACTACCTGGAGACACAGAACCCTGCACCGCCCTGCGTGGAGGTGGATGAGACCCTGATGGACAAGCAGGTGGCCACAGCCAAGCAGAGGAAGAACGAGAAGTACACCAAGCTGACAGGTGAGGGGCTGCCGTGGATCCCTGAGGGGATGGGGGTAACCCCGAGCCTCCCCCTCCCACCCAAATCCAAGTTTCCCCTGGCCATGTTCCACGGCACTGTGTCCCCACAGGGCATCTCTCAGGTGCCTCTGGCACAAGATCCTGCATCCCCACAGCTGCCTGGGAGCCGCATCCAAGCCCCAGGCTGGAGCCCTGTGGGACAGGGCTGGGGTGAGGGTGACTCCCTTGCCCGTGGGCGCACAAGGGGACTTCCCAATGCCACCAGGAATGGGTGCATTTGCGGGGCAGTTGCCTGGGGGCTGGGATAGGACACAGCAGGACCCGGTGTGGTGCCAGTGTGGGGTGGGAGCTGCAGGGCCGGGTGGTTTCCAGGCTCTCACAGCTGCCCCGCTCTTGCAGACTGCAGCGACACCATCGCCAGCGTCAGGGCCATGAAGATCCTGAAGCGTTTCGGCAGCACCTCGGGGCTCTGGACCAAGGACGCCGCGGGCAACTCGGAGAAGATCTACGTGTTCGACGGCACCGCCAACGACACCGTGTACGTGTTCCCTCGCATGCGGGAGTTCACCCTCTTCTCCGCCACCCGCAAGGCCGCCCGCATCAAGCTGCCCTACCCCTGGGTGGGCACCGGGCACCTCGTCTACGATGGGCACCTCTACTACATCCGCCAGCAGGGCCTGTCATTCCAGGTGATCAAGTTCAACCTGGCCAACAAGACGGTGGTGGACAGCTCGGTGTTCCCGGCCGAGGAGCAGATCCCCGTCTTCGGGCTCTCGCCCTTCACCTACATCGAGGTGGCGGCCGACGAGGAGGGGCTGTGGGCCATCTACGCCACCAAGGAGGACGAGAAGAACATCTGCCTGGCCAAGCTGGACCCCGGCTCGCTGGACATCGAGCAGATGTGGGACACGCCGTGCCCGCGGGAGAACGCGGAGGGCGCGTTCGTGGTGTGCGGGGCCCTGCACGTGGTGTACAACACCCGCCTGCCCAGCCGCTCGCGCGTGCAGTGCGTGTTCGACGTCAGCGGCACCCTGGCCCCCGAGGACGCCTCCCTCGTCTACTTCCCCAAGCGCTATGGCTCCCACTCCAGCATGAAGTACAGCCCCCAGGAGAGGCAGGTCTATGCCTGGGACGACGGCTACCAGATCATCTACCGCATGGAGATGAAGAAGAAGATGGAGGTCTGAGGGGGCCCGGCCCGGCTCACCCCCGTCTACCCCGTCTTCCACCACTGTGAAAGGATGAAATGCTGGACCCTCCCCCCCGGCCCCCCCCCTCCCCCCCCCCCCCCCCGGCACCAGGCCTGGGACCACCCTGCGGAATCCTGGACTAATTTAAGGAGGTTTTCTTCTCTGTGATGCAATGAATAAATCCTACGCAGCGAGTGCCGTCACCTGCCTGGGGGGAGCAGGGGGTGCTGGGGCCAGGCTGCCAGAGCTCTGAGCCCCACTTTGGTCCCGGAGACACCCCAAAAAGCACTTCCCAAGGGCGGGGAGTCCATGCAGGGCCGGCTGGAGCAGCGGGTGCAGACAGCCCTTGGGTTGGGGGGGTCTGGGCAGGGGTTTATGTTGGGGCTTTGGGTGAGGGTTTTGGGGGTCTTTGGGCAGGGGCTGGAGCTGAGGCTTTCATCAGGCTCCTGGTCAGGGCCAGCTTGTTTTACATATACAAAACCGCGAGCAAACAGCAAAAATCCCTTAATCTGGGAGGACAAAAGGAGATTTCTGTCCCATGCTGGGGCGGTGTCACAGCCAGCAGGCACCAGATGTTGCTGATTTTCTGAGGTTATTTCTAATGAAGCACAGTTGTCTTCCCCCTGCAGCCTCAGAATTGCCACCTTACGTAAGGCCCTGGGTCCTCCCAGCCCTTTCCCTTTTCTGTTCCTGCTGCTGCCAACTCGGGGATGAGAGGCCACAAAGCTTCCTGGGCACCCCAGGGAGGGGCCAGCCCCATGGGGAGCACCACTGCCAAGCCCCTGGGGGGCTCCTGGGGCCACCAGCCCTCCCAGGGTCATGGCATGGCCATGCCACCCCCCTGCCACCACAAAGCCCATTCAGCATCCCCCCCATGCCCACCTTAATTCAAGCTGTCCTACAGCGTGGAGGGCACTTGGTATTTCCTTCAAGTTCTTCTGTATTATAATCAAAATATCTTCTGGTTGCATAAGAAAAATCTTCAAATACGCACTTTGAATGACTGTAATTGGCTGGTGCTGAAAGTTCAACACACAGTGCAAGTCAAGCAGAGAAATTATCCAAGTGTGAAAGGCTCTGTGAACTGTCAAGTTAATTTATGGCCCCTTTCAAGATCAATAACTACGGTACCAGAAATATAATTTTCAGAAATCTCACAGTAGTAAATAATTATACCGATGATTTCTCCGTCTGGAATTAAAATTGATGGGGCAGTAATGACTCTGCACCAGAAACCACCTCGTAACCCCAAACCAAGCCCTGCTCAATTTGAACCTGCTGTGACACCAGTGCTGCCCTTGGCGGGAGTGGGATGGGGTCAGACACTGCCAGAGCCCCTCGTGTGCTGAGCAGCACCTGCCCAGGATCACAGAATCATGGGATGGGTTGGGTTGGAAGGGATCTTAAAGCTCATCTCGTTCCACCCCTGCCACAGGCAGGGACACCTTCCACCAGCCCAGGTTGCTCCAAGCCCCGTCCAACCTGGCCTTGGACACTTCCAGGGATGGGGCAGCCACAGCTTCTCTGGGCAACCTGTGCCAGGGCCTGCCCACCCTGACAGGGGAGGATTTCTTCCCAATATCCTATCTAACCCTTCCCCTGTCCATGTGAAGCCATTCCGTGTCCTGTCCCTCCACCCCTTGTCCCCAGTCCCTCTCCAGCTCTCCTGGAGCCCCTTTAGGCACTGCAAGGGGCTCTCAGGTCTCCCTGGATCCTTCTCCAGGTGAACCCCCCTAGCTGTCCCAGCCTGGCTCCATGGCAGATGGTCTCCAGCCCTTGGAGCATCTCCATGGCCTCCTCTGGATTTGCTCCAGCAGCTCCGTGTCCATCCTGTGCCTTGGATCCCAGAGCAGGATGCAATCCCAGACTGGTTTGGGTTGAAAGGGGCCTCAAAGATCATTTTGTTCCAATCCCCCACCCTGGTCAGAGCTGCCACCCACCAGATCAGGTTGCTCAGGGCCCAACATGCTCCCGTGGAATTTGTTTTGTACAAACACTTTGGGAATGAGAAGCAAAATGAAAAAATAACTGCAGTGCCCCGATGGGCTTCTAAAGCACAGCACTTATCTCACACTGCACATCTTCAAAGTACTTCAGGAAGCATCAACTAATTAATCCTTGGAATAACTCCTGTAAAAGAGAATGGCCTTATCTTCATCTGCTGACAAACACTTAGACAAAAACCACATTTGATCATGAAAAGTGGTTCAGCTCTGAGCTGGCTGGAGGAAAAGTCATGGAAAAGATGAGCAACAGGGATGCAGGAACATGTTTGCCCTGGGATGGAAACACCACCACCCCCTGACCAGGCACTGCTCCAGGTCTGCCACCTGTGGATGCCAGAGCTCATCTCCTGCCAGGGGTTATTGATTTCCTCTTTTCCCTCCTTGTTTAAATATTTATTGACCCCTATCAGTAGAAAGCAAAGGTTGTGCCACAGCTGGAGGGGTCATGGTGGGATCCCTCAGTGGGATCCAGGAATCCTTGGCAGGATGCAGGGACCCTGAGCAGGATGTAAGGACTCCTGTGGGATGCAGGAAGACAAAGAGGATGAAGGATCCTGGCAGAATGCAGGGATCCTCAGTAGGCTGCAGGGATCCTGGCAGGATACAGGGACCCCCAGCAGGATGCAGGGATCCTGGCAGGATTCAGTGACCCTGGCATGATGCAGGAATCCTGGTGTGATGCAGGGTCCCCTCATGGGGTGCAGGCATCCTGGTTGGATGCAAGGACTCCCAGCGGGATGCAGGGACCCAAAACGGGATGCAGGAAGTCCAGTGGGATGCAGGGACCCCACAGGGCTGTTTCAAGCCCCTCTGTCCTGAGTGGAAGTGGATTTTTGTGGCTGCTCCCAGTTGCCCTGCATGGCCCCAGCCCCAGGCTGCCGTGTCTCTGCCCTCCCAGCCATTCCTGCTGAACTAACAGACTTCCAGGAAAATCCAACCTTGTTTCAAGAAGCAGAGGTTCCCTGGCCTTCCAGTTCAGTGCTGGGCAGGTCACCTGGAGCCAGCGTGGGCAGACAGACCCTCCTCCCCACAGAAGGTTGTGAAAAACCTTCATTCCTTCATCCCTCAGCGGAATTGGCTCCGGGACAAGGATTGTTCCTACTCCCCCCCCATTCCAGGCTGCAGCAGGAGGTGACTGGTGACCCCACACCCCGACCCCTCAGTGGGATCATCGCCTTCCAAAACGAGGGGTTAGTGGAAAATGTGCTGACGGGGCTGCTCCAGAAGTCACAGCCTTCTCTGGGAGTCTGCAGCTCCTTGTGCTTTAATTGCCAAATATTTTATCTCTTTAAAGAAGAGGCTCCATAAGTAATAATCCCTTTCATCTCTGCTCCTCTTGAAAAATACTCCTCTTTGCAAGGCAATTTGGTCAAGTAAATTGAGAAGCTGTGTTATCAGTGGGAAAGAGAAAGTGAGATCTTTGGGCTAATTTTTCCTCCTTTGTCTAAATCTCAAGGATATTGACTCTTTTTTTTTTTTCCCTCCTCGACCCTTTTTCAGCTCACAGGAGCCATTGATAAAGTGAAAAAGCTCTGGATGTCCTATTAGAAACAGTGGGACTAAAATTAATGTGTAACGAAGCTGCCTTTGTGTTGAAACAGGAAAGGGGGGGGGATAATTCTCCATTTAATACTTTCCTAATGGCTGGTTGGCAACTCTAATCACTGGCTTTTTGGCTTCAAATAGGTGTTTCTGCCCACAGAACATCTGGTTGAGGTTGAACTCCTCACACTTGAATCAGGAGGCAGCAAAGCACTTTCCAGCCAAGGATTCCCAGCAGAGCTGAGAGGACACCGGAGTTCGGGATGAGCTCGGATGTGCCAAGAGGGATGTGGGGATGGCAGCAGCTCTTTCACAGCCCTTTGCATTTCCTAATGAAAACGTAGAATAAGCAGAACCAATTTCACCTGAAATGCTTCCTGATGTGGAGACACTCGCCTTCCCCTGCAGGTGGGATCTCCTGAGGGATTACAGGGATTTAGGAAGTGTGTGTCCAGCACAGCTCTGTGTTATTCCTCTCACCCCTCCCAGTGCTGTCTGCTCCTTCCTTCCCTCTTGACAGGCCGATTAAAAATAAACTCCTCAAACTGGCAGCTCTCAGCCCTGTCAGGTGGTGACGCACCGCTATTTCAACATTTCAATATTTTTCTGGACAGTTCCACTCACTTCACAGATTTCTGCAGTTATTTTGGTGCTCTGATCAGGATGGATTATTCTGTGTGACGTGTCTCCATCCCAGCCCAGAAGGATCTTGCTGGCCCCAGGGTGGCCCCACGCCCACAGCTCCCACCGTCCCGGGGATTTCACGCACCCTGCAAGCCTACACGATTTCCCCAGGATTTTCTTTGGGGTGTTATTATTGCTTAATGCTATTATAACAAAGTTGCCTTCCCGAGGACAGAAAAATCACCAGCTCAGCTATTCAGCTAAAGCAGTTCTTTAATTTCTTTCCTCTCCAAATCAGCTCCCCGGAGCCTTTCTGGAACAGAGCTGGATTTTCTGCTTTAATCCGTCTTCCTGAGGGTAGAAGAGCTGAGGGGGTGCTGGGAAAGGAGGCTTTGGGGTCCCTCTCCCAGTGCTTTGCTGGCTGCAGCTCAGGGATTGTGAGTCAGCTCCAAAAACATGAGATGGAGCTCTGTTTGCCCCTTGGCCTCCACGTCCCTCACCCCCAGCTGGGATGAGGCACCAAGTGAAGCACCGAATTTGGGGTCCCCAGCCCGAGTTCTGTGCTGGAGGAGGACAAGAGGGGCAGGCAGGGCAGGTGCCCTGCTCTGCCCAGGGGCTCCATCTCCCACATCTGGGGCACTGGGGTGACACAAGGATGCAGGACCTGGCAGGGTGGGAGCAGTTGTCCCCCCCCAGCACAGCACCCCTGGCTGTGCCAGTGCTCCTGCTGCAGGTGGCTGAGGACCTGGAGGGAGATATAACCATGGTAACTGTGATTACCCCGGGAAATCGCTGCCGTTACCACGGAGGGAAGGTCAAAACAAACAGAAATTATCAATTTTTCTCTTTCTAATAAAATGCAGGAGTGTGTTATTGACTCACTAATTGCTCACTTAAACGGATCTCTCCAAAATTACCTCCTAACCCTTGTGAATGAAAATGATGCAAAGATTAGCACTTCCATGGAATTGCTCAGGGAAGGGAAAACGAAAGGTCTGACTCCTTGCCCGTGGCAGGGGGCTG